GAAAGAAGTTACTAGTCCAAAGCCACTTAGATGCAGATGGCAGAGGAAGGAGTTGAACTCAGGATGTCTTATATCCTCATACAATTCCTTGTCCCTTAGATTATATTATCCAAAACAGCTATTTCATTTCATTTTCTTCAGAAACATGTAGTACAAATACCATTTAGCCTGGATGGCTTCTCTGCACTGGCTCTTTTTCTGTTGTATTACATCTCTTTGAGAGACCTCATTTTCTGTAAAAGCTTATTTTCTTGAAAGGGATGCTGGGAACAAGAATTTCCCATCTTCCCTTGGATGTTTAAAAAATCTCTCCCTCCTCTTTTTAATTTTTTTTTCTTTTTATCTTAGCGGTGTCTTCTTTTTGATGCTCGGAGATGTTCAAGGTTCAGATTCTCTATTGCAAGTCTGTATTTTAATCTCCTTGATATTCCAGGTAGATACTATGTAGGATTTTGATGTTGGAAGGCATATTTTGTACTGAATTGTGAACTGATAATTAGTAGTGTTTTTTTCTTACAGAAAATCTCAGTGTAGCGCATGAAAAAACTTGCTTTTTTTACAGGAGGCTTAAAACCTTCCTAAAGCTATCGCTTCCACTTTCTTTATTGAAGTGTAGCTATTCCATTAACTGGGCTCTTAACAGTTAAGCAAACTGTCCATAGTATTTTCATGCGTGCCAAGGTGATTTAGACTACAGGTCCAGTTTCAGGAGGTAATGTGGGTACATGGTATATAACCTGACATTAAAAGTTAGCAGGTCTTGGACCGTTGTGACACATTTGCTTTGTGCACAGCACTTGGATTAAAGCACTTCAGACAGCAATAGCAGCAGAGCTGCAGCAGCTGGGTGTGGGTCGGCTTTTTCTCTGTTGAGACTAAGAAACTTCTGTAGCTGCCTGCTTCTCTAGGAAATAGAATCTGGTTCAAAGTCACTTGGATGTATTTGGAAAATATTATGTGGGTATAATTTTCAACTACTAGATTAATATACCAAACCTTTAAAATACTGCAGGCATGCTGGAGTACCTAAATGGTATAATTTTGCTTTTGTTATTGTTTAGTTTTGAGGTAAGCACAAGTCTCTCAGTGGTCTTTGAGACCGTTGAGGAATTGCTCACTCAAGGGCAGATTTCTGGATTGTAGAGGTAAAAATCGTTTTGTAATTTAGAAATATAATTGTAAGTAAATTAAAAAACCTAGATTATTTTTCTCAGCCTTGAATTACAAAACAGCAGGTCATAGAACCATACTAAGATTAAAAACTTTGATTGTTTATCCGTAACCTTTTTGTGAGATTATCTAACTGCTTCTTTTTGTAGGAAAAACTGTTGATGATCATGAGATTGGGGTGGGAGGAAAGTTGCTTCAATGCTGTGTAGCCTGCATTGCAATTCCACATCTAAGTGTGTATTGCATGAACTGAAGGGTGTGCAGAACTCTGTGGTTCATTGGTTTGTTGGGGGGGGGGGGTTGGGGGTGGGGTTGGTTCGTTATTTTCTGTTGTGAAAGCCAACATCTGAGTTAGTAGAATGCAATGTTCTATATTTTCTTTAAAGCTTCTTAATCTAGTAATACTGAAAATTAAGAAGTCTACTGACTCTGTAAAGCTATTACTAATCTCCCATATTGAAACATATGTGGGTAAAATATTAGTATCTAAAGGGATGGCTAGATCTGGTTCTAAGAGATACAGGCAGAGTTATGACTGTTGCTCGCCAGTCACTATCCTGTTGTCTTATTAATACATTTTACAATGAGGTACTGTATTGTTTTCAAGGAGGGATTTTTTTTTTTTTCATAGAAACCTTTCTGGAAAGTTTAGGGAAATAGTTGGAGCATTCAGTCAGACTTACTAATGAAGTGTGTGTTTCCCAGTGTGTGATAGATTCTAGACCTCTTACTGGCACTGGAGAGATGTTTGATTTATATAGTTAAAGCCCTGCTGTTGTCATCGGTGACAGTGGGTGAATTGTCAGCTTTATTTTAATTCTGGAGACAGAAAGATATCCTAACTTATACCATCATTATCATCATTATTCTTTATACATTGGTTGAATAATTCATATTTAACTGAAATCTGAATGTGATTGATGCACTATAATTTAGTAACTGCTGCCTGAAGTTCTTAACAGCTTAGGTAATTGAGGTAGTAATATTTACCTATTTCAGTTAACTTTTTTTTCCGCTGAAGTATTTTCCAGGTAAGTTAATCATTCATTGCATTTTCTTCATGTGAAAGGTAAAATAAAATATTTGTAGCAGGATTCTCTTTAACTAGTTCTGGTTCTGTATTTAAATTTTCTATCTGTGTTTTGTGAATACTTTCTTTCTAGGTAGACAATGTTATTAGCGCAGATAAATCGAGACTCTCAGGGAATGACTGAATTTTCTGGAGGAGGAATGGAGGCCCAGCATGTAACTCTTTGTCTAACGGAAGCTGTAGCTGTGCAAGGTGAACCTTCAGGTTAAAATATCTCGATGTTATGATTTATTTTCTGTTTGAAATTGAGATAAAACTCCAGAACTCACATAGTATATTCTAAATGAAAAATCTAACACAAATTATTCTTAGTTAACTGAGATTAAGTTTACCAATTCTGAAAGGAAATGATCTCTTAATTAAGGTAATAGGAGTGTAAATGTGCCAAAATAGGAAATATAAAATCTGACTTTATTCTCATTATAGTTTTACACTTTGTATATTATACTATATAGTTTTATACTTTGTAACTTCAGTTTGTATCTAAGTGTATATTAAACAAGTTGAGTTTTAAAATAGATTGGAGATCTTGGATTGGTTTAAACTTGATGTTTTCTGACAGCTTCATGTGATGAAAAAGTTTTTCCTAAATGTGTTCTACTCTAAATAGTTTTATGTGTATTAATGACAGGTAGTAGTGTATAAAACAAAATTATCAATACATGTATATATTTCGTTATTTCACTGTTGACACTCATGACCTAATTGATATTTCTCCTACAGCATCAGCTTTGTAGTTACTTATTCAGTAACATTATAATTTTTTTAGTTAAGGAAAATAACAGTCTAGGTGTCACGTTTACAGAGCAAAATCTTGAACCTAAGACCGTAGTAGATGGTTAAAAAACCAGAAAGCATGGAAGAAATATTTCCTATTATTATTTCTGAAATTATTATGCTTTAAGGGGATGTAATAATTTATGGAGGTGGTTAAATTGGGATTTTTAGGGTTTGATGCTGGTAATAATGAATATGAACTTTTTTCCTTGCTAGATGGTGACAACTTAGAAAACATGGAAGGTGTAAGTTTGCAAGCAGTTACCCTTGCTGATGGCTCCACTGCTTACATACAGCACAATTCTAAAGGTAGGTAAATGACTAAGATGATCATTGGTATTGAAATTTTTAACCCTGTCTTTGGATTGTAAAATCAGGCAAAATCTGTACAATGTTTATGAAGGTTGAATTCCAGCTGAGAATTACAGGTATTGCAGTAATAGTATAAAATAAACATTTTTTTTTCTGCTACTAATAAGATGCAGATATCAAATTCAAAACATAAGTCAAACAGAAGTGAGATGATCTTTACAATTCAAACCCAAATTTCAACATTCTGCCTGCTGGATAGGACATCAGGCCTTTTCCATTTTTTTTTTAATTCCAGAATTTTAAAACCTCTGTATAGTCATACTGTGCTCATTTTTACAAAACGTTATTTCTCTGTGATATTTTATTGATATTTTTATCCAGAAAGTATCAACTGTATGTTTAAACTGTGATGTATCATACAGAATATTAAGAATTCTAATTGTGTATTTCAGATGGTAAATTAATGGATGGACAAGTGATTCAATTAGAAGATGGTTCTGCTGCTTATGTTCAACACGTGCCCATGCCTAAAAGCAGTAAGTGTAATAATACAAGCAATATATTCTGAAATAATGTATTACTCATAAATATTGATATTAAGTAATTAACAGTCATTATAATAGTTGATTTCTTATTTTAATGGAGCCAGTTGTGAAGGGATCCTAGGTATTTTGTAATTCTAGGTATTTAGTGTTTAATCTTTCCAGCTAATGGATTTTTTAGACTATTGTTGAAGCATTGTAATTCTCTCTTCCAAACAGGGGACAGCTTGCGTCTGGAAGATGGACAAGCAGTTCAGCTAGAAGATGGAACTACAGCATTTATTCACCACACCTCGAAAGGTAATTTTTTTTTGAAGTGTGATTTATTACATTAGAGTTCCACAGAACTTCAGCAGTATAAAATATGGTAGTCTAGATTATGATGTCACTTAGTATGATTCCCAATGTAGATTACTTGTTGCTTTTACTTTGTGATGTCTGGAAATTGTTGAAATGAGACTTGTTCAGTTCCTTATTTGGATCTTGTGTAACAGTTATAAACAGAAACAAAACCAGCATCTTTCACTTACTTTTTAGCTCAGGATCACATTAAATGAAGTGTATGTCATGTTAGAGAATGTAAGCCCTTATACAAATTTCAGCAGTAATTGCATGTGAAAATGAGAAGGCAATTCAGGTAAGAATCAATCAATCCCTCTTGAGCTAAAGAATGTAGAAATTGAGTTAAATTTTAAAGTTCATGCTATTGATGATTTTGCTGTTAGGTAGTAGGGCAGAAAATGTGACAGCTGACAGTCAAGAATGCAAATGTATTTATTTCAGATGATAACTTAGATTTCTGTGGAAGATGATTACACTAGTCTTGGAAATAGTACTACTTCTCTTCAAAAAGTGATCAAGTAGATATTTTAAGTCTGTTTAAACTGATGCCACAAGAATTACATTCTACAATCAGCAACACAAAGAGCAGAGAATATAATAAAGAATTTCTTCCTTGAAAGTCGCCCTATATTTTATGTGTTTCTTTTGCATATTTGCATGATTCAGTTCTTAAAATGATCAGATTTATGAATTCTAAAATCTGAGGTGTTGACATCAGTACAATTATGAGTGGACACAAAATGGAAAGCATGTTTGTGTACCTGGTTTCCTTTGTAAATAAAGCTAGACCAATATAAAATTGGTTTTACACTTTAATAAGCTTGCAGAAATAAAGCTGTAGGAGGTGTGGTCTTGAAAAAAATGTCATCAGTGCTATTCATAGGAATATTTTAAGTGTTGATATTTCTCATGTACTAGTGGTTATATCTCATATATTTCATACATACATACAACTTCAGGAGGCATTTCCTAAACAGCAGTAGTTTCTCGTGTAACACGAAGACATTGTTATTCCTTTTCTTTTTATTTCTCAGACAGTTACGACCAGAGTGCATTACAAGCAGTCCAGCTGGAGGATGGAACCACTGCGTACATTCACCACACAGTGCAAATGCCACAGTCAGATACCATTTTAGCCATTCAGGCTGATGGCACAGTGGCAGGTCTTCATACAGGAGATGCTGCCATTGACCCAGATACCATCAGTGCTTTGGAGCAATATGCAGCCAAGGTATACTGGAAGACATTTTTTTCTCTATCCATAACATTTTAATGTAGCATCACAAGATACTTGGCAGCAAAAGCCAATTGTGATCTAAGAATTAAAATGATTATTAAGAGAGTCTTCAGACTCTTAGAAGAGAGAACACCAAATTGTTGTGACAGTGCTTCACTATCACGACCAACTCCAGTGTGTGTAGTGTTGCATATAAAAAAAACAAAAGATTGAACACCGAAATGATGTGGAGTCAGACTGATTTGGAAAGTGATTTAGACAACTAAATAATAATTTTCTCTGCAATACAGCATTGGAAAGGAGCCTCTTGACAGCAGACTATTTGCAAAGGACACAGTTAAGAGTTATTCTTGTTCAGGCACTATTGCTGGATTTTGGTTGGTGTTTTTTTTTTTTCTTGCATTTGGAAGAGAAGGATCTGGTGTACTGGGAAAGGACAACACATGGTATGAAGTGTAAAATAGACAATTAGGCAGTTACTGAGTTTAGAAAAAACTTTGATCCATACTTTCAATAGTAAAATGTAGTATGATGCTCAAAATTCATGTTGTCCACTTTATGTACATCATGTTTTAAGAAGTACAGTATAATAATGGGCAGTAGAACTTCCATGACTTTACAGTTTAGCAGCGTCCCAGTTGCTGGATGATTACCATTAGTGTTTGTATTGCTCTGGAAAAAGAGTAGAATTTTAAAACCTGTCCTCTAATGTCACTGAGAGTTGTCAAATTTTGGGAGAAGGCCAGTTAGGATAATTAAATGGCTTATACTCTATTTTTTCCATTATGCTTCTGTCTGTTATAATTGTGGAGATCCTGTGAGAGCCAGTCAGATTGTGTTGTGTTTGGCTAAAATAAAAATAAAATAAAAGGTAGTTCAGGGTTATTTGAGCTGTACTGACGAGCTTTTACACATTCCCTAGCTACTATTTAATTTAGGTTTAAATCAGTCATAACTTTGTCCTTCTTGACAATGAGCTGTATTAATCATAATTTGTTGTAAGTTTCTGTTTTGAGAAGGTGAAGAACAAACAGAAGAAATGCAAATAAATTTGCATTTTTTGTCCAGTTTATCTCAACATGTGTTTTTTAATTCTGGAATTTTCTGTAGTGTACTGATGTGTGTCTAGGAAAAATTCTATTTATTTTCTTTAAGCTTTCCTCTCGGAACATGAATCTGAAAGCTACTACTAGAACCTCTCAGGCACAGTCAGTAGAAGTGTGTTTCCAAGTATTGCACCTGTTTTACATACAAAAGCAAATAACAGCTCAATTGTCACACCCCTGTCTTTCTCTTAAAAGGAGAAATGTGGTTTTGTGATTCTACTCCATGTCCATGTATGCTTCATAGTGAGGCAGTGTATACTTTTCATAGCAGCTGGTATAGGAACATTGAAAAAGGTACAGGAAGGGGCAATAATGATGACCAAACATATGAAATACACGAGGTAAGTATATGATAGAATTTTATAAAGTTTTAAGTGGCACAGAGAAGAGTAGCAACTTGTCATTGTCTTTACCGGTGTTAAGAACTGGAAAACATCAGATGAAACTCTCAAGTAAAAGGTTCAAGAAAAACGAGGGAAGAATACTTTTTGAAACAGCACAAAGCTAAGCCATGGTCCTACTTGTAGGATATTGTGGATGCTCATATTTCCCTGGATTCAAAGAGTATTTAGATAAATTCATAGAAGAAAAATGTATCCAGGGCTATTGGGTAGAAACATGTGACTCCTAGTTCAGGAAGTTGCTAAGCCACAAATTGCTTTGAGGTTGGGAGAATATTTCTGGGAATGCATCACTATATGCTTGGCTTGTTCCTTTAGTCTAGGAGGAACTCAAAGATCTTCCTTGGAATCCTTCCAGAATTCTCCCAGTACTGAAAAAAAAAAGGTTTAAAATTGGGTATCTTGCTTTTTTGTTAACTTTGAAGGTTTTCTACTTAAAAAGGTGAAGAAAATTTTGAATGCGGATTTGGACAGTGGTGGTTCTTCTCTATTCCCCTGTTGTACGTAACAGGCAGAAATAGCAAAGGTCAGTAGGCTGCCCAAGATCAGTGTAGGAACTCTATAATAGAGTTCGTACAAAGAGATCCAAGAAGACTACAGCTAACTTGCTGGAAGTGGTGGAACACATACATTTTTTCATTGTCCCTTGCTTCTCTTTTGGGCATAGTACTACTTTCCCAGATCTTGCAGAGCACATGCAGAAACTTAACTAGAGCCCTCTTAATTTTGGGCTAAGTCAATGCCACCATCCTCCCAAAGCAACCAAGGAAAAAGGAAATCATTGATCTCAGCGAACATAAAGTCAGAAGATACGTGGAATTGTGAAGAGGTTACAACACATACTTTCCTTCTATAAGCTGTTTTCCTGCGATATCCCAGCTGCTGGAAAAGTACAGTTCCTGGGATTTGTGTGTGTCTACACACATGCAGGCACATTCCGTTTGGATTATATCTTTCCAGTGGCATTGATGAACTTTAATTTCATGTCAGCTGTTCCTTTCTCAACCACCAACAGGAAGTTCAGGATGAAGTCTTCTTTATGCACAGGTTCTCTCTCCTTTCAAAAATTCTGCAGGAGAAGGTCCTAAAATTGCTGTTATTTCGTTTGAAAAAAATCACCCGAGAATTACCTGCTTGCAGTCTCCAATGTAAACTTGCTTCTGCTTGGGTGATTTCCTTGTCACTGTTTTAACTTCAAGTTGCCAGAAGTATGTTGCTCACCACTGTCTAATTAGAAAGACAGTACAGTCTGAAAACCTCTTGTGGGACAAGTTCAGCTTCAGTCTCCCAAGTGTTGCTAACTGATGCTTTTAGCAAGATACTTCACGCAACCATTAACATTCTCAGGAGCCTGCAGTGACCTCTTTAGTGAAAGGGTATAAACATACCAGCTGAGGTAGGGTTCCTGCCAAACTATTTTAGAGGAGAATAAAATCATTTAGACTAGATTTAGGTGCATCAGTCTCAGACTTGAGTGTAGTGGATGCAGAGAGTATTGTGAATGCCTGTGCTGAATACAGATGCAATTAAGGAATGGGGAAACTACATAAAGTATACTTTAAATTCGTTCTTTCTACAGTAATTAATAAGACACTGTTCTTTGAGTTGATATATGTGAGAGAGTTTTTTGTTTGTTTTTAACTGGGCAATTATATCTTTAATTAAATAAAAATTTCAAGTTAGCATCTAGTACTCTTTCAGATATTTTTATAAGCTCCTTAGGAAGCAGCAATACTTTTTTCTTCCTGTAGACTGTTTTTGAAAATAAACCTATGGAGCAATACATGAGTCTTTGCTTAGCTGTTGTAATCTTGACTATATCAAATTGAGGTGTAACACATTGTCTTCAGTATTTTGATTGCAGACGAGTTGTGCTGTTCGAAACAAGTAAATTCTGCTTAACAGGGAGTGAGATAGATCCCTATTATAAAAAAAGTATACATTTTCTCTTTTTTTTGGTCAGAACTCAGTATTGTTAAATTTATTAATTTAATACATTTGTCAGTCTGTTAACATACTTGGTTCTTGCAGTCTTTCCTACCTTGTTTTAAGACAATTTTGAGATGCTCACATATTCTATAATGCAGGTGCTACAAGTGGTGATTTTACTGTAAGCTAATGTACTGTAGGATGACCATGTTTCAAGAGGGAGCTAGAGAGCTATAAAATAAGCCCTCAGGAACTGTCTGTAACGCTCTGTTTTTCAGGCGAATAAAAATAACCTGTAAATATTTTTCCCTTCATTTCATTTTCCAACTTCATTTTTCAGGTGTCTATTGATGGAAATGACAGTGTTAGTGGCACAGGAATGATAGGTGAAAATGAACAAGATAAAAAAATGCAGGTATGTAGCCCAGCACAAAATAATTAAGTATATCTTTTTTTTTTTTTTTTTTGAAAAAATTAGGTTATTTTTTTTTTTTTTTTTTTTTGGTCTTTTCTGCCCAGCAGCGTACATGATAGGTAGTCCTGCATAGCCATGATCTAGGGTCTGCTGCTGCCCTTCAGGAATTCTAGATCTCAAACCTATACAGATAAGTCATATTTCTCACTTTGTACAAAATCCTTTCATAGGATTTAAAAAAGATCTTTTAATACTTTCTGGGGGTCTTCTATTAATATGTAATTCAAAATTATGTTGGATTTCTAAGATTTTTCAAGCTGACCACAGTATTTCATTAGTAAGGGCATAAGTATTTCAGAAATTCTTTTCCAGAGAATGAACTGACTTTTTATATTCCTTAAGGCAGAAGGAATACTGACACAATTAATGAATTATTTTCCTCTCAAGAGAGACATTTAGGCATATGCCTGGAACTCTTCTCTCTTTGGGGGGTGACTTTGATTCCATTTGCCCTCTTAGAGTCCCTGACTTTGGTTGCAGGCTTTGCAGGTAGGGTGTTGCTCGTAGTGAATGCTTAAAGAAGCAGAAAAATACTTTCATTTCTTTTTCTGTATTCATGTTGTTAGTATGTAGAAGTATAAAAATCTTTTGGATATGAAATTTTTCATGTTGAAAAGATTAACTTAAAACTTCAAAGGGCAATGGAAAATACAGGTACAAGTTATTAAGTCTTAAGCTTTTTTTTAACTGGGATTTGTACAGTTATGTAAGGAGAGTGTTATTTGTCATCATAACATACTTTATTAAAGGAAAAGACAAAGCAAAATGTTTTCTGTCCTTCAGAGAATTATGACCGACAGCAAAAATAGTAACAAAACCCCTATACCCTCACATGTTCAGATGGCAAAATGAAAAATGGAAAAGTCATTCAATTGAGAAAGGTTTGGTCAGAGAAGCCCTGTTTTTCCTTGTGGTTAATTTAAGAGGTAATGTATTAGAAAAGGAGGAAAAATATCTTCCAAGGTATATATAGTACAGTACCCATGAAAGGAAGAATTGTAGGCTCACCTCTGTCAGTAACCTCAAAATTCTCTGTTTTTAATGTTTTTAAAAGCTAGGTCCCACATTATTTAAAGCTGCAGATACTCTACTATTGCCTGTGTGGCATGACTGTGAAAGGATAGAATAGCTAATACATGCATTATTTATGGTATTGGAATATATTCCATAAAATGAAATCAAGAAATGTAGAGGTTTTGCACACTCATAGGTTGGAATAGGGATATAACTCCAGCAAAAGGCAACATTCAAGAAAGATCTTGACTGGTTTTTACCTAGAAGTAAGAAGCTATTAAGCAAAGTGACCTGTAACCAGTAAGCAGTTGCATAGTGATTTCGGCTACAGCCCTAAAACAAATGAAGGTGAATCTGGAGATTGCTTTATCCTATACATGTGTGGCAACATAGGCATCATGTGGAAATGTGCCAATTTTACGGAGCATTATATTCTCCAAACAAAAAAAATCTGATATTTCAAAAGGTATTGAGGTTTAGTCTCAAATTCTGACACCTATAAGGTGACTCCAGTTGGCCAACTGAAGCGTCCCAAAGCTGTCGATGATCTATGAAAATCTTACTCATGATTATATCTTGATGTAAGGAGATAAAGATACCTATTTGTAACTCATTCTGAAATAATGTATTACTGGGGACAAAATAGTCTCATATTTAGATATAGTATTAAATAAGTGTACATTTATAAACTTCTTAAGTCTACAGGTAGCACAAGAACAGAACGGATGTCATGCTGCTAAGCAGTCATTCAAACTTGTATGTGGTTAGGTGTTTCACCAAACAAGCATAAAACTTCTTTGTGATTTCTGCATGTCAAAACAAAAGACTACGTGTGACCACATGGCTATCACGCAGTATTTCCTTTCAAACCGATCATATCCATCTGTTCATAATAAAAGCAGAATCATAGGACTGAAGTTTGTATGTGTACAATATGAGAAATCTTAATTACCTTTGTTACTTGTCTAAACTTAGGATGTATTTGTGATTTTTTTTTAATTGGACGGTTTTTTATTTTGTCTATTTAAAAGTATTTTGAAGGACACAGTTGCCCTCAGGAAGTTTCACATTATTATAAAGGTGCTTTATTTGCTATGTTCTTCTGATTTTGTGCCTCCTAACATCTGAAATTTTTTAGTTTCTTCAGATTGCATTATCTTCTAAGAACTGTATCTGTCCTTGTTGAATGATAATAACTAACGGAATTCTTAATAATCCTCAAGTCATACCAACTAATGTGAAGAAACATATATTTCTGCAAACAGCTGTTTGAACAAAGAAATGGTCGTGATGTTCAGCTGATTATTTTCCTAAGTGTTAGGTTTTATTAACTCTCACCCTGCTTTGTATCAATATTGGTAAAATTATGTCTCGTTATTTCCTTACAGATTTTACAAATAGCACATTGATCATAGAACTGTTTTAATTTTCTTTTAAACTTTGGCGTACTTCAGATTTATAGTAGATCTTGACAACTATATATATTTTTATATGCCGAAACAACAGATAACTACTAGCAGGTTTACTGATAGAAAAAAACAAATAAAAAAAAATGCCTAAGTGCAGGTGCTCAACCAAGCATAGTCTTCATGATTCTTAATGTATTAAAGTAACTTCAGTGATTCAAGATATTGTAGGTTAAACAATGGTGTTAGTAATGGGTTTCTTGATTCATGAGGTGTTTTTTTCCCCATGGTTCCAGAGAAGCTTTTCTGAAGTGGTGGTGGTGGTGTACATTTCAGTTGGTTAAAAACTTTGTATTCAACTTTGCATCTTTAGTCTTCAGAACAGTCTGAAGGTAACAGAGGGGATCCTCCCTGAAGAATCCATAGAAAAGTTGTTCTCAGTCAAGTTTCCAAACTATCTGAATGATGAATTAGAGATCTGTGCGCAGTTTCAGTGCTACAGTCTCGTTGGGATGAGGGAGATGTGGTGGGATAGTTAAGATGATTGGAGTGCTCTAATGGATGGATACAGGCTCTTTAATAAGGCCAGGTGAGGAGGGGGAGCTGCCCTTTGTGTGAGAGAACAGCAGGACTGCATAGGGCGCTGCTTTCGTGTGGGTGATGAGCCAGTGGGTCAGAATTAGCTGGCAGACCAATGTGGGTGGTGTTGTGGTGGCTGTCTGCTACAGAGTGCCCGATGAGGAAGAGGTAGATGCCTTTTTCAGACAGCTGGAAGAAGCCTCATGTTCATAGGCGAAGGTCCTCATGAGGAATTTTGATGACCCTGGTATCTGCTGGAAGAGCATTGCAACAGGGCACGTGAAATCCAGGAGGTTTCTGAAGTTCAGGGGTGGCAACTGGCAACCTAAAGCAGGTTATTGAGCAGCTGGCAAGGTGAGACACTTTGCTGGACCTCATACTTACAAAGAAGAATTAGTTGGGAATGTGAAGGCTGGGGGCAGCCTTCAGGAGTCTCAGTCCTTAAGAGATATTCAGAATCCATCTGGATACTGCTGTGGGAAACCTGGTGCAGCTGACCCTGATTTGAGCAGGGGTTATTAGACTAGAAGATTTCCAGATGTGCTTGCCCACTTCATCCATTCTGTGAACTGTTCCCCTGACAATTCAGAATGGAATTGGATCCATAAGAATGGTAGGGGGTTTAAAAGAAGGGATAGACCTTTTAAAATAGTCTCAATTACTTTGCATACAGTTGTATCACAATTTTTATGTTTGAGCTTCTGCCTCTTTCTTCAGTCTGTATGAATGTTTCTTGTGATTTAGTGTATGAAGAAGCCGCTAAAAGGGGTTAAAGTTTCATTACTAAGCTATTCTGCATATTTTTCTGTTGTGTCATGCCAGAAAGAAGAGTAGAACCTAGCTCAAATTGCTTGCTAGTTTTATGAAAACACATGCGTCACAGACAAAGTACAAAATGCTTTCCTTCATTTTCAAAACACTCTCATTTTAAGTGCATTTAACTACTGTTTGGCCTTTGCATCAACTTATCTTTGAAGGTGGTCTGATCTATGGCTAATCTCCCTGAGAAACTGATCCAGTGCATTAGATGCAGTCTAAGCCTCTTCAGTGTACTAGCTGGGCTTATATTTTAAATTACTCTGTCTTTGTTGTTACTTGGCTAATTAATGCATGCACTTAAATTTGCTAGCTACAAGTAAATAAGTTTTGCAGTTTCTCTCTTTCCTTTTATCAGAACTTATGCTTTTTAGTTATTTATTTTTAGTTTATTGAGGACTAAGAAATACGTGGTATAGCAAAGAGAGGCAAAAGAAACTTGTCAGAATCAGTTCTGATTTGATAGCAAAATAAAGTGTGTGACCTTTCTGATCCATTGTGTTTTTTTTAATGACTTTTTTTTTCGACTTAAGATTGTCTTGCAAGGACATGGAACAAGAGTGACTGCAAAATCTCAGCAGAGTGGAGAGAAAGCTTTTCGCTGTGATTATGATGGCTGTGGAAAACTGTACACAACAGCTCACCATCTTAAGGTAAAATGAGGATTGTTACTTTGCAGGCAGGATTTTCTTTTTTACGGTGGTTAAAAGTAACAGAAATTAACAGAGAGCCAGTTGCAATGTTGCTGTTTTGTCAAATGTTTATTGGATTGATACTACAATAATTAGTTGTCCCAGGTGCTCAGCTGATTTTGCTTAGTGTTCTGGATAGATGCAGGTGTGGAATCATGTTAGGTTCCTATATTGCCAGCATGTAAGATATCTATTGTTGAGATAGTTTCTACCAGCAGTTTCACAGAAATTCTGAAATTTATTGTTCTCTTTATTTACTTTACGTGTATGCAGGATCACGTAAAAATTCCAATTTCTGAATCATAGTAGAAAGTCTAACTCTTCAAAACAATCAACATTCAAACCGACAAAACTGGAACACCTTTTCTTTACAGGTGGCAACTCCTTAATTCTCTTCCTTTTTTTGAATTAAGTAAAGGAATTGCTGAAACAGTAAGGGTGTAGAGCTGTTCACATTCCAGTTTAGGCTGACGTAATCAGTTGCCAATGAGGTAAACTCCTTGCAGTGCTGCCTTGTCTCTGACAAAACACTCTGGAGTCAGTGAGTAATTGACTATGGATCATGTGTTAAAATGGTGTCCTTGCTGTAGAGGTTTCATGCAGTATAAGAGGATCATTAGAAGTGGAGTCAAAAATCAGATAGAGAATGGGCTCTGAGGCATGTCTGCATACTGTCTTTAATGTAGTTGCATGATGGCAACTCTGAGTGTATTTACAGAAATGTTTTTTGAAAAACTGAATGAACGGATCAGGTTAGACCTTGGAAAGAGACATCTTAAGTTTTAGGGAAAAAAATGTTACTGTATTTCATTATTTTTTTATCACTGATTTGAAAAGGTGACACTTGAATGTGGATACCAGGAAGAGAAATAAAATATATTGTATTTGAGAACAAACTGTTTCTGTGAAGTTATCGGATACAACATTTCATTAAGTCAGTGTATTGGATGTTTTGACAGGTGCATGAAAGGTCACACACAGGAGACAGACCATATCAGTGTGAACATCCTGGATGTGGCAAAGCTTTTGCAACAGGTAATCTTTTGTAGGCTAGCTCCTCCTGCTTTTTAGTGTTTGTCTCTGTATAAAATAAGCTTTTAATATTGCCTTTTTTAAACTGCTAAGAACTTTGTTGGGAGAACTATGGGAAAAGTACCCAACAAAACATTCGTAATTTCAGCTAGCGTAGCATCTAAAAGGACAGAGGATTTAACTCTTATGTTCCTGAAAGAGTAATGAGGTGAAACACTTGAAAGTGTCATGCTGGAGTCAGATTGAATGCTGCAAAAACAGGCCTTTCTTAAGAAACTGACAGTATAAGTTAAATGAGAGCTGATAATAAGAAGCTGAACCTGTTGCTAGAGGTAAATACCTGATCTTATGTTACAAATTTGAAAAGAACTGTGATGTAAGATGCTGTTTTAAGTGTTCTTTACTGAATTTGTATCAAAGAATGACATTTCTCATGAAGTGAACTCTACATTTCGTGCAGACCTGTTCATTAATGCTGTCTCCTAGAATTAACTTCATCATGCAAAATGCAATTATGAAGAATGAAACATGGAAGAAAATGAAAGAGCAAAACTGCCTTAAAATTTGTTCTTTTACTTTGAATGTAAATTAGTGTGATGCTTAGAAAAGTTATGCTTAATTTTAAAAAAAAGTGTTTTTAAAATAACTTCATCTAATCTAATACATTTAATACTGGTTCTTTGAATAGAAGCAAGCAAAAGAAATACTGATGAGAAAGCTCAAAAGGGAAACAACCACACTTTAAAGGCTGCATCTAAGTTTAATTGCGTAGTGTTTGTAAAGGGATTTCAAAACTACATAATGAAATATTCTCTTCCATTGCAACAGACTGATGTATGGCTATAAACAGCTGTTTATCTATTAATACCATATTTTTGGCCAGAGCCTTTGTACCTCTGTAGTTCAGCAGTGCTTGCCTTTGATGAAGTGCATTTTAAGTACTGAACGTTCTTTGTTTAAATACTAAGAACTCTCCTGGGTTGGGTTATGAAATTGAGTTTGTTTTATATGTAAGAATGAATTAATGCTCAGCTTGGTAGACATGCTTTGTGTTAAAAACATGAAAAAAAGGAATTTCAGGTGGTTTAGGGATGTAGTGTGAACACGTGAAACTAAAGCAGGTGTGTTGTCATCTTACAGTCTGTTACTTTATTTTGTAGAAATACATAGATCCCTTGTGGACACAAGTAAAACTCAAGGTCATTTTCTGAAATTACTGTTTCAGAGTGTTCTAGCCATGATCTTTTTAGGGAAGTGCAGAAAGGAAAATCTTGGTAAAATGCTCTTTGCAAAATAATTTACAGAGGGCCTGATCCAAAGCTTGCTTTAGACTGGTACAGTTTTTGATGAGGATGAGTTTCTAGAAGTAATGTTAAAGGGAATGAGTGCCCATGACTGCTATCAGTAGGCACCTATGTATATGATGATGTTAATAATGTGGTTTAAAATAATTGGAATAACTTAGAGCCTGGATAGCAGTAGAGCTTTTATTGCTGATGTCATTAACGGACTAATTTTTGTATGAGCTAATTATAATCACTACAGTTTATTCTTTTGAAGGGAAGGAGAAGCATTATGGAAGTGTACTCTCTTCATAAATAAAGGATGAACGAATTTCTAAACTGTATCTAGAGTTCTGCTGCTCTGTATGGTAGAGTGAAGAGCTTGTGAAGAGTGAAAGAGCAACTTTTACTCATCGGGCAGCTTCCTGATTGCAATGGCAAGCACAGCTTTTGATAGTGATGGTTTATGAGTATCCTAATTTTGTGCTTATACTATTATAACATCCTTTCTGATCTTCAGGGTATGGGTTAAAAAGTCATGTCCGAACACATACTGGTGAAAAGCCTTATCGGTGTACAGAAGAAAATTGCACTAAATCCTTCAAGACTTCAGGAGATCTGCAGAAACATATCAGAACCCACACAGGTACTATTATCACCCATTATTTTTCTTGTTAATTCACTTAGGTGGATTGTTTTTTCTCTTTGATCATTCTGTGACTTTATACTTATGAAATCAGCCTCTGTATATTCTCTTTCTGAAGCCCAATGAGCTCAACAGCATTTCAGCATGGTAAGCATTTACTATAAATCCAGCATGCTTTTCTTGGAAAAAGTGCTTAAGTATTCACATTGCTATTGCAAATGCACTAACTTTTACCAGTGCATCACTTAAGTTTTCACTGAGTCACCTGGTGCCTTTACAGTTTTGTTTGCATCTGTAACAGAACAAGGAGCTCTTGCTCGATGTGGCTCACCTTTTAGAAATGGCATCAGTGTTCTTAAACTTTGGTGCTTTAACATAACTTGCATGCCAGCTTCTTGAAGGTTGATAGTTCTGAGCTTGTTGTTATCCTGATTACCCTTCTCTTCTTGCAGCAGAAAAATGAACAAAAATATCATAGCATAAAAAATAAAACCTTACGTTTTGCTTAAAAGAAGATTTGTTTGAAAGCCAAAACACAAATAATTTCTAGACAGCATACACTCCACAAAACTCTATGGGTGCACACACTTTCTAAAGAAGTTTGCACAATGTCTTCTTTGCTCCGGAGATCTCTGGAAAAAAAGCAACCCACCCCTTAAATGTGGGAAGAATAATCTATCACTTACTAACCTATTCCACTAAGTATATTTACTTGCCTGCTAGAACACTGACAAGTTTTCCCACTGAACTTTCTGAATCTTAGAGAGTAAAAAAGAACAAAAGATTTTTCTCAGGTTGAAAAGAACAATGCAGAGGGGGGAATAAAAGCACGCAATGAAAATGATAAAAACTCAAGATTACATTGAGATAATTCTGCTTTCCTGAACTTCCATATTCAAAGACAGTCTGTTGGGATTAGTGCTATCTTGATGTTAAATTGGTCATCAGGATGAAGACGTAAAAGTGTCATCTGTTTTCAGTTCTAGAAGAGAACTGTTTGACGTTATGTACTACATCAAGTACAGACCACGAACTGAAACATTTCTGTAGTATGGACAACTTGATTAGCTGTAGACTGTTCTCGTTGCTTCTTTACAGCTATAGAAGTTGTGTGGTAACTTAATCACTTTAATATAGTAGTTAAGACAAAAGACTTCAGCCAGCCCTATGTAACCATTTACGCATTTGAACAATATTAATAGTACAGTCACAGACTCCCAGCAGTCCAGGGACTGGAGTTCAGGTGTCTTTTTTCAGATTTATGAGTAGTTGCAGGAAGCCAAAGAATGAGAAGAAAATTGCACCAAGTCCTTCGTGCAGATGGATAGAGTAGCGTATGCTCATACCCTATGCAAGCTGCAACAGTGCACCCGAAGGAGGCAAGTCTGGGCTCTGCCCACACTCTCCAGTGGCTCTGAAATCTTTTTGTTTCTTTATCATGTAGAGTGGTGTTAGCATTTTCTTAATCTTCTGCCTGTTTCAGACAAAAGTGATTTTTTCCCTCTCTTTCAGTGGCAGTCCAGTCTCACTTTCTCTTGCCATCAAATGCTTGCCTTGGGTTCCTCCATGACTTCCCTAGACATACCCTTCTAGTATGAGAAAAGCTGGTGTGGATGGTTCCTCATAGCTGCTGTGGGGTAGAGCTTGAAGGCTTCTGACTTGCTTTGTACTTCCAGTGGTAGAAATCTCAGTCACCTGGAAACAGGTCGCTTTTCTAACAAGTACATCAGAAACTTAAAGGCTGGCTTCACCAACCGGTCGGATGACATTCTTGTAGGCATTCTTTAAGAGCAATGTGGTTTGGTTTCTAAGGCAGGGTCTGTTGTTGGGCGGGGTTGACTTTGCAACTGTGTTCCTTTCGGGCATGATTTGAGGTCGGTGCTGAGGCAAGGATTAGGGAGCCACGGTAACAACACTGCGGCATGTACACTTGATAGACGCGCACTGCCTTGGCATGAAGCTGAAAAACCTTCCCAAAACAGCTGCCCTAAGGAGTGAATTACAGTTTTCTCTGCCAAGGAGCTAACTACTTTGCTGGTATTAATGTCTCTATCAGGACTTTGTTTTTTATTTCTGTCTTTAAATACTTACTGTTGTATCTGTGGTGGTAATTTGCCCTCTCTTGCTCTCAGATTCTTCTCCTTGGTAAGCAGTACAGTGGGTGGAATGTACTTAGCTCTAGGAAGTGTGCAATTACAATGTCAGGTGGCTCAGACTTCTCCAAACTTAACCGTCTTCACTCTCCCCCTCGTTGTGGTTTGATTGATTTGAAGGGTCAGGGTATTGGAGTATTAGACAGGGTTTGGCCTTATGTAGTGTTTGTGGTGAAATGTTTGGTGCAATGATGTAAGTTATTGTGCTTAAATTTATATTACATGACTAGACTTATTTTAAAAAGAAGCTGTATTTGTGATTGCCTTGGTTTTGGGAGTTGAAACTTTCAGGGTTTCAGGGCAGTCTCTAAAAAGTTGGTTCTTCTCATGTAAGGTTAAGAGCTTTCTATAATGAGTTTTACTAATGTATTTGTATCTTGGTTATATGCTAAATCATGAAGGTATTTTTTTTATTTTATGAATTACAATTGACAAATGTACAAATGGTGTGGTACACTTGTTTTGGATAATGTATGTATGAATTGGGGGAGGGTGTAAAATACAAGTTAGAATATGGACAATGTGGAAGCTAATCAAAGCAGCTGAGAGTGTTTTATACATTATAAAGTACAATCTAAATGCTTCATAACTTAGCTAACAGATTTTATGATTTTCCTGAATTTTGCCAGTTTTGGTTAAACAGTAAAACACTCCACAGTGGCATGTTCATGGTATTTCTGACTGAGGATCTCAAAGAGAGAATTAAGTAGCTTTAGATTCCTACATTCAGTCTAAGTGTAACTTCAGATTTTTGTTCTTTTATAACTTTTGCACTTGTACCTTTTTTTTTTTTTTCAGGTGAAAGGCCCTTTAAGTGTCCATTTGAAGGATGTGGCAGGTCATTCACAACATCTAATATTAGAAAGGTTCACATCAGGACACATACAGGCGAAAGGCCTTATTACTGTACAGAGCCAGGATGTGGGAGAGCTTTTGCCAGTGCAACTAATTATAAGAATCATGTGAGAATACACACAGGTATATGAGCAATGTTTTGTATTTTGAAGTGGAATCTGCTTGGAGAGGCTGTCTCATTCTCCTTGTGAACACTGTTTTGGTGCATTGTAATTGGGTATAGTCATGCTTATATGACCTGGCTTGGTACTTTTGTTTGGGCCTTGTCTCCCCTTAGCTGAGAATAGTTAAGCAGTTAGGTTTTCTGCCTTGCCGTCAAGACAGAATAACTTTGGTTTGGATACAAAGTTTCTTAAAACGAATGCAAAACCTTGTCTTCAGTGAGCACTGGGCGGCTAAATCCTTAATATGGTTTTGGGACTTGCCTCCATTGTGAGCTCTTAAATAAATAACAGTAAGATGCAAGTCTGAGCTTGAATTTGGCTCACTGTTGTGAGTCACCTTTTCATCCCAGCTGTATTTTCCTTGCTGCTGGAGCAGTGGTCAAAACTTTCTTTTTATAGACGGAGGTGAAAATACTTATCCAACTTGATTGGCAGGGTTAGTCAGCAGAAATAACTGGCACAAATTTTAAAGTTCTGAAATGTAAAAGCAAGTGATAGCTATATCATCTTGGTAACCTTATATATTTTATAGAAGCACAGACAAGTTTCATAGAGGTACATTTTGTATCTCAGGTAATCTTTTTAGTTTATTATGTAATTTGGACATTTGTTTCATTGACTTCTCAATGAAAGGTGTTTTCATATGAACTATAATTGTTTAAACATATGCTTCCTATAGATTTCTTCAGAGCTTAAAGACTCAAAAGTAAGTGAAATTGTACTAGTGTGTCAACATACCTGATCATTGAGGAAAAGTATGGGGCTTCCAGTAATAAAAGAACAAAATTCTAAATATGATGCTAAATTGACATTGCAGCTTTCAGCCTGTATCCTTCTGTCTTCATCAATAGGATGTTTTAGATGGAATGATAGGGAGAAAAAAGGGCCCAACTTTCATTGGCAGTAGTTTAAAAAAAAAAAAACAAAAAAAACCAAAACAACAAAAAAACCAAAACCAAACAAAAACAGTGAGAGGCTATATTGATAGACTCTGAGCTTGAGCTTCACTGTTGCTTTTGAAATTGAAGTACAGTCGGTAATGACAAACAGCTGACATGTCAGCCTCACCTCTGTGCCTGGGCAGATCATGTGACATATCCTCCTAGAAGCTGTTCCAAGGCACATGGAGGACAGGGAGGTGATTCGAGACAGCCAGCATGGCTTCACGAAGGGCAAGTCCTGCCTGACCAACCTAGTGGCCTTCTAAGATGGTGTGACTAGATCAGCGGACAAGGGAAGAGCTATGGATGTGATCTGTCTGAACTTCTGTAAAGCCTTTAACATAGTCCCTCACAACATCCTTCTCCTTAAATTGGGGAGATACAGATTTGATGGGTGGACTGTTCGGTGGATAAGGAATTGGTTGGATGGTTGCAGCCTGAGGGTAGTGCTCAATGGCTTGATGTCCAAATGGACGCTGGTGATGAGTGGTGTCCCTCAGGGGTATGTATGGGACTGGTGCTGTTTAACATTTTCATCAGTGACTTCAGCAGTGAGATTGAGTTCACCCTCAGCAAGCTTGCAGATGACACCAAGCTGAGTGGTGCAGCTGACACACCAGAAGGACGGGATGCCATCCATAAGGACCAGGACAAGCTCAAGAAGTGGGCCTGTGTGAACCTCATAAGGTTTAACAAGGCTAAGTGCAAGGTCCTGCATATGGGTCGGGGCAACCCCTGATATCCATACAGCCTAGGGGATGAGGGGATTGAGAGCAGTCTTGCCAAGCAGGGCTTGGGGGCACTGGTGGTTGAAAAGCTTGACATGAGCCACCAATGTGCGCGTGCAGCCCAGAAGGCCAACTGTATCCTGGGCTGCATCAGGAGAAGCGTGGCCAGCGGGTCGAGGGAGGGGATTCTGCCCTTCTACTCCGCTCTGGTGAGATCCCACCTGGAGTCCTGCATCTAGCTCTGGAGCCCTTAGCACAGGAAGGACATGGAACTGTTGGAGCGAGTCCACAGGAGGGCCACAAAAATGATCTGAGAGCTGGAACACCTCTCCTATGAGGACAGGCTGAGAGAGCTGGGGCTGTTCAGCCTGAAGAAGAGAAGACTGCAGGGAGACCTTATAGGAGCCTTTCAGTACTTAAAGGGGGGCTATAGGAAAGAGGGGGACAATCTTTTTAGCAAGGCCTGTTGTGACAGGACAAGGAATAATGGTTTTAAACTACAGGAGGGTAGATTTAGACTGGATATAAGGAAGGAATTTTTTACCATGAAGGTGGTGAAACACTGGAATGGGTTGCCCGGAGAGGTAATGGGGGCTCTGTCCCTGGAAACATTCAAGGTCAGGTTGGACAGGGCTCTGAGCAATGTGATCTAGTTAAAGATGACCCTGGGCACTGCAGGGGGGTTGGGCTAATGACCTTTTAAAGGTCCCTTCCAACTCAAAGCATTCTATGATTTTATAATAAAGGTGTGTCACTGAATAACATTTGTTGACAATTTTTTCTGTCCATCCTGGATTAAGTTCTCTTTATCCCTTTTGTTTTTCCATACAGGGGAGAAGCCCTATGTCTGTACAGTTCCTGGTTGTGATAAACGTTTTACAGAGTATTCCAGTTTATACAAACATCATGTTGTACATACTCATTCCAAACCGTATAACTGTAATCACTGTGGGAAAACATACAAGCAGATTTCTACACTTGCTATGCACAAGCGGACAGCACACAATGACACAGAGCCCATTGAAGAAGAACAAGAGGCTTTTTTTGAGCCACCTCCAGGTTAGAGTTTCAGTCTTTGAATCTCGTTGTAAAAAAAAAAAAATGGGCAGGATAATATTTTGCTGTTTTTTTTATAACCAAGGAAATAAAAACAGATAAAAATCTCAAGTACTTAATAAAGTTATTTAACTTCTTTGTAGGACTTGTTAGTGTGGTAGGCAACTTGTAAACAGAAACTGAGAGAGTAATTCACCAGATCATAAACTCATTTGTAGCAGTCCTGAGAATAGGAGAGAAATTTGAGCTGCAGTCCCAGCAAACTTGCTATAAACATGAATGTGGGAAGGGACCTGTGAGTCTAAAATACTTATGTTTGCAACCTACTGGATTTTTCTTGGGGATTTTTGTAAGAATATGTCTCACACAATGGTTGGTCAGAGTCTTTTGTGCAGGAGTACAGGCATGCCTTGAGAAAAGGAAAATCTGTCTTGCAGCACCCTGATAGTGTGCTGTTTTTGCTGTGGTTAATAGTATTTTCTGTAAACTATCCTAGAGGCAAAGATGAAAGTAAGGTCATGTGCTGTAGTACTCCTTAGAATATGTTTTTAATGGTGTCATGAGTATTGAATCCTATGACTATAAAAGATCAGACTGAAGGAAGTACTGTGATAGAACAAATATCACTTGTCAAATTGTGATTTTTAGATGTGACTGAATAAAGGAAATACATGTGCAAACTGTTTTGGTCAGAAAAGTTGTTCTGCGTACGTGTATGTGGGAAACTGCACTGAATGCCTCAAGCAGATTTGCTGTAGTCCAATTCCTTCTTTTAAGGGAATGATAAGATTCGTTTGCTGGGATTAAACATTTATTAAGATAATGAACTTACTTAAGTCTTCACACAAAGGCATCACTGTGCTCTTCTGTATTTTTGTTAATTTCTAACTCTTTTTAAAAGCTGCCAGTTGTGTTTGTATGGAGAGGTTACATTTAATGAATGAATAAGCAATGTTTGTCACTATTATTTGCTTAGAAACTAAATGTATCTTTTCTTTATGTGTAGTTATGTGTGTGAAAACTCATTGCTAAAAGATTATACCCCGTGTTCCCAAAACAACAGACATTCTGAAATGCTTTTGGTATTTTTCAAATTTTTCCATTGGAGTGTTTAAAACCTTCAAACCAGGCTGGCACTCAGTCCTTGTCATTTGCTTTCTTGGCAGCACTTAGAGTATGTAAACTACCCTCTTGCCTTCTTTCTATCAAATAGGTCAAGGTGAAGATGTTCTCAAAGGCTCCCAGATAACCTATGTGACAGGTGTAGAGGGAGAAGATGTAATTTCTGCACAGGTTGCTACAGTTACTCAGTCAGGATTAGGTCAACAAGTAGCATTAATATCCCAGGATGGAACCCAACATGTAAGTAACTGCAGTGTTAAAGAGCTGACAAAAATATGTTGAGAATTGAGGCAGGTGTTTGCAAATACTCCATGTGCTTTCTAAAATCAGTTAGGATTCTTGATATACACGTACATGGGTTTCTTAAGGAAAGAAGCTTCTTTGGAGCTGGGTCAAGATATGTTTAGGATTGGGCCTCCTCTGGAGTACCTAAATTAAACCATATCTTCTGACATCTGAAACATTTTAATGCACAGCTAGATTTTTTGGCTATCCTTGTTATCTTTGTCACTTTTAAAGTAGGCATGGGCTATTTTAACAATTGTTATATATAAAGCTTAGTTTCTGAGGTTTCTCGGAATTCCCTGATTCTTCTATTAGTATGTGATGGTCATCTTCAGTGTTGTCTTGTCTGCACACCCTTTTGGGGGGTGGTGGTGGGAAATCTTTCTAGTCCAGGTGTGTGCCTGCTTTACAAGCTGTTTGGTAGTGTGTAGTTCTTACCATTTCTAACATAAACAAGAGGATAAGGAGTGCTTTGATACTACTTCCACTTGAAAATTCCTGTGGATATATTTTTTAAAGATTCCATCTGAAATTTCATTGGGAGGGCATTTCACCACAACTCTTTTGTTTATCTGTGGCAGTATATCAAAGGCATATGTGGAGAAGTTTATATATCACCTGGAAGGGTAGCTGAAATGCCAGTAGCATGTGAAAGATCTCTTCTAAATTCAAATTGGAAATTAAATATTAAGGGGGGCTGTTAGGTTGCCAGCCTTGAACATTGCAGCAATGCTAAGTAACTGGCATTTTTACGCTCTAAAATGAAGGCCTGCAGAAACCTTGACATGGAGTTCTTGCATTTATTTAAATTATCCTTCAGCTTGACTTCAGTTCTGGGATGTTTTACTACCTTGTAAATAGGACATCAAACCATGTATCTGATGCCCTAACGCATTTATACTGGAGACATCAGTAATTTATATAATTTATTTTTTTAGGAATTGTTTATTCGTGGCTTAAATTCTAAGCCCTTATAGGCCTCTCTAGTATTTCCATTAAAATGAAAGTATGTCAGGTGATACTACCTTGAGTCACGTTGTCTGTTGTGTAAGACACATACATAGATAATCTATCATGCAGTTATGTGGGATATGATCTGATTAACATGGAGTTGTAGACTCTGGGGCAAGTATGCATCCTTTTTCTTATTAATGAGAGCCATAATTTTATTTTTGTAAGTAGGTAAGTGCATCTGAAAGGTCATGGAATATTAGATCCCAGTCAGTAAGATTAATGCAATGAGGGTGCTTTGTCCAAGACAGGGAGTTGGCCAAAGATTGACGGCGTTTCTGAAGGAATGTATGAGCATGCCGGTCAGGAAGTGGAATAACAGCTACTAGATCTTTTGGCCAGTATATTAGTTGTGAACATGGCTTAAAATATTTTTTCCTGCTATTATGAACAAGTTGCCTTTTTGTTCTGGATTGCTACACACTTTATTTCAAATGAAGAAATTGAACATTACACTTCAAATGCGTATAATCATTTCTTTCAAACCTTACTTAAAAAACATGTTGCCAAAAGCTGAGACTCGGGTATGACCTGAGCAGCAATCAAACCTTCTTTTTTTTACTTCAGGAATTATTTTGTGTTTCAGGTCAACATATCCCAGGCGGATATGCAGGCCATTGGCAATACTATCACTATGGTAACACAAGATGGCACCACCATCACAGTCCCTGCCCACGACGCTGTCATCTCTTCTGCAGGAACACATTCCGTAGCAATGGTTACTGCAGAAGGCACCGAAGGACAGCAGGTAAGATATTATCCTGTGTGCATGTGTAATGTTCCTTTATAAGATGATATAAAATAGGCACCTAAGCTGTGACAATTGTCATTCACATAGATTTATTTAAGTAACGCAATTTGAAACACCTGGCCATACCATTCCCCTCATAAGAGTAAGATGGGTTCTACTCCAGTGGTTTACATCAACATATGGCAGAATGTTTTAAAAACAATAACTGGGCACCAAGAAAAAATTCTGAGGTACCAGTCTGGTGATTCATGTAGGTGAATGTAAAATAAGACCTAGAAATGCTAAGTATTTTCCCCAAAGTCACACAGCAAATGAGTGGCAGAGGTAAGAGTAAAATCTAGTATGAACTGTAACTTCACCACTTAACATTATGGGACTGTAATTCATTTGGCAGATAGGAAACATTTGTGTAAGTATATATTTGCGATTTTGTTTTTAATATACAAATACAATAACTAATTTTTTTAGTAGAAATGCATTCATATAATTTTTAATCTTTAAGTTAAAATACATTCTACTGTTCTAAAAATGTGCCACATGAAAATGAAGATAATTATTAATCACCATGCTGTGTATGTAGAAATAATCACAGGCTTTTATAGGCACATTTATTGAACTTCTTTGCTGTTCTGAGGATATTTATATTTCAAGCGCTAATAGATAACTGTGAGAACATTGATGGCAACCTTTCTTTAAAAATGTATCTTCTGCACAATAAATTTATGCCCATGAATAATCACAGCTTTGAAATTAACTAACTTTGAAGAGTAACGGTTGTATGAGGTCAGTAACAATAACATCTGTGATCTAGTTGATTCTCTTCCTTTGGTCTTGAAGGTTGCTATCGTGGCTCAAGACTTAGCAGCATTTCATAGTGCCTCATCAGAAATGGGACATCAGCAACATGGCCACCATTTAGTGACTACAGAAACTAGACCTGTTACATTGTTGGCTACATCCAATGGAACACAAATTGCAGTACAGGTAAGATGGTGATAAATGTTTTTTGGAGTGTTTCTTCTAAAGCTAGAAGCTCCCAGTCACGTAACAAAGCTTGCCTCCCCTGAAAAAATAGTCCATAACCATATGATCTCATATTTTAAATAATATATAGAGTTAGGAAGAGGAATAATAAGCACTTGATTTTCCAAATCTACTTGTAGAACTTCCGAAAAAGGGAGAAGTTAGGGGAAATCCAAACTTCAGGTCAAATGAATCATTCATGGAGTCACAGGTTTTTAGTGGAATTCATCCTTCACCATTACATATAAAGCTGAAACATACAAAGCCTCAAGGCTTGAGAGTTCCTCAAGGGTAAATTGCTGTGAACTCACACAGATAAAATTACTGAATTTATGGTATTTCAACCTTGAAATGGTAATAGTGAAAAAGCATAAACAGTTACGTAGAAAGATCAATAAACAAAAATCTCTGGAAATAGTAACCTTTTGTTCATGTGTCAAACCAGCACGGTACAAGCAGCAGTCTCTGTAGATAGTTCGTCACATTGTCCAGACACTGTAATAAAAGAGTAGTTTCTGCGTATGAAAGAGTTTAATTTAAATTGTGCTAATTTAAAAGAAGGTGTAAACCAAGCACAAATTAAGCTTTTTATCTAGAAAGTAGCTGAAAACAAAACCTAGACGAGCATTTTTGTGAATAGTTTATTCAGAGGGAAGCTTGGCTTGACTGGAAGGTCGAACAAAACTTCTAGGGCAAACAATGGCCAGTATGCCACCTCAAACCTTAACATAAGTATGTGCATATATTATTTTTGTTGCATATGATATGATGGTAGTTAATAAAAGCTTTTGGAAATTTTAAATCTGAAAGATCTAGTATTTTAAAAATTAATGTCTTTAAATGACATTGCAGTCAAGGGTCAAATAAATGATTGAAGGATCTTAGGGAAATTGCCACTCCAATGACAGAAGCCAATTTTAAACTCAAAGTAAAATAAAAGGAGTTGAATTAGTTTAAATCTTGAGTTGCATAGTAATATCAATCCTGCAAAATGCCTAATGCTTTTGGTCCACATTATAGCCCTCTTGATTCTGTGCGTAACTGTGCATAAATAAGAAGTCCAGTGGGAATGTAATGAAGCTACTTTTGTATTCAAATGCACTGTGGAATTGGGACTCAACACTTTGTGGGTTGGATCCTGTTGTTGTCAGGATATCACCACAGGCACACATTTTACTCTAGATAACATGGAGAATCTCAGGAACCAGACATCCTGAAAGAGTATACAGTTAGGAGAAGGATGATTTTCATGGATGTGATACACCCTATGAATTTCAAAGGCAGTCGAGTGTATGCAACTGTCTTGGAGTATGGTTTGCATGATGGGCCTTAGCTCTGACAAATACCAATATAAAAGAACACCAGTGTGCCTATGCAGAGAGGAGATGCTCAAAAGATTTTCTAAACAAATCTGTATTAAGCAGTGTAAGTTAATATGTATTCTTGGAAGGTTCTTGGAAATAGCTTCAAATAGAAGAAGAAATGCAGAAAATAAACTCACAAATTTCATTTCCAGGGGTTAACATACACTTTGCATGTGGAAGTAACAGTAACTTAAGTCTAGTTCCCTCAGACTGTTCATATTTGCTGAAACTAATATGAGATCAAAACCTTTGAGCATTTGAGTCTTGGGATTAATGCTGCAGTCTAAGCGTATGTATGCACACTACTCTCTTAAGAGCTCAGGTTGAAAGGAACTGTGTTAGTATGTTCACGTGGAAGTGAGAGCTTGCTGTTTTACATTTAGCAAAAGGTGCTGATTGAAAAGCAATAAAAGTCAAAGCTCTGAATTCTAAACTCCTGTCTTTTGAGCTAAGTTGGCAGTAATCAAGGCTGCATATAGGAGAAGCTATGTCAGAAGGCAGTTGTTTGCATGAGAGGAAGAGAAGGGGGGGGAAAAAGTAACTTGCACCCTCAGTAATGTGGCCTTTGAATGAAAGGAAAACATAGACGCTCCTTGCACATGCCCCTCTTGTTACCAGTAGTGAAGCTTTTGGTGAAGTATCTTTGTATTAATTAAAATATAGAATACAAATAGAAGAGAGAGAATCCAAAATTAAAATATTTTTCATTATTCCTGTGTTCTTGATTGTTTCTCTTTTGTACTTTCGTACTAATAAATGAATCCATTTTGTTTCTAAATACTGCTAAAGCCAGTAACCTGATAGCCAGGTTGAAGTCCCGAGGAGGTGGTAACAGAGCTCTTTTTAATTTAAGTAGTTCCAGAATGTGATATCCAGTGACTGTAAAAAGTTACAAGCAATATTTAGAACTGTCCGGTCAGGTCTATCCATCTGTCAAATAATCTGGTTCTACTTTTCACACTGTCATACATCTTTCTCGTGAGTCAATAGGTAATGGCCAGCTGTACATTTTTTTTTTTTTTAGGTTGAGGTTGTCTTCAGTGTTCCCATCACTGGATGTACATGCATGGTGTACATATTATAAAACTGGGATTGTTCCCCAAAAATGTGTCCTACTGTCTTTATTCAGGGTTTGTTGTTGTTGCTTCTGACAGTCCCAGATACATTGATGTCCTTGTAGTTGCAATTACAAGATAATTTCCTCTCTAAACTACTGTAGAATCGAACAGTATCATCATGACTGCTTTTTTATAGTCATGATTCTGCAGTAATTATGCTTTTTTATCTATATTAATGTTATATGCTGTTCCAAAGAGCTGACTTTCTGCAAGAGTTTTAAGATAAATGTTTGATTTACCAGTGTTGAAATGTAATTCAACAGCCACCATGTCTTTTGAAAGCCTTATATTAGCTTTGTTGTATCTGCCAAGTTGAAATATCATCTATTTTGTGTCATGAAATGTGTTTACCATGCAGCATTCTCTGAAGAAAATTTATTCAGTACATACATGGAAACTCAGTTTAATCTGCTATCAGAAGCTATCTTAATTGTCATGCTGATTAGATAGCTGCTAGTATATATTACCCAGAAGAGGTGTGACAATAGTGATCACGCTTATTTGTGCTAAAGTATTGATCCATATCTAGATCTTTGGTTTCATATTTAATTTTTTTTCACAAATTTATATCCATATGTAAAATTTTGGATTTATTTATGTTTAAATGCATTTGTTTCAGCTTGGAGAACAACAGTCTCTGGAAGAAGCCATTAGAATAGCCTCCAGAATACAACAGGGTGAAACGCCAGGGATTGATGATTAACTTCTAAAACTGCTACCAGAACAATAGAGTGAACGGTATTTTGTTTTCAATCCACAAAGGTCCATGCCAGCAGCAGCTCATAAAAAAACTTTGAAGTTCCCAACTCATTGATACTGTGTACACATTTTATGCAAGAGCAAAGAACATTTTGTAAGTTTTGTGTACATAACCCTTGGAATGGACTGACATCATCTATTTCCAACCATTGTACATTGAGGAATATGGAATTAGGATTATATAGTAAATTTCCTTGTTGTCCTTTCATCATATTTCAGACTGGTCTACAAGCAAGTGAAAAATTAAATAGAAGTATTGGAATTAATTTTTAATGTTGTGTACAAATAATTAAGGCATTAGTGAAGATTTAAAATGTTTAAAATACTATTAAAAATCATCATTTCGGGAACCCTTACAAGTAATAAAGATGACAAAGCCTTTTAAATTGCATTCCATAAATGGAAAAGTCTTGGATTTTGAGCCTACTGTAAATCTTCATATTTTTAGTTGTTTCATACAGATTTGAATACTCTTTAAATTACTCACGCCATCTCATTCATTGTAAATACAGACTGTTCATGCTGGAAGTGCTAATTATATTATCTTTAAATTGGATTATGTACAAAGGAGAAGCTTTGGTTGTTCAATATTAAAGGAAGTAAATCTAATTATTTTGTTTCTTTACATATTTTACTTAGGATGTTACTCTCAAATTATTATGCAATAAAATATAGTAAGTTTGTATTGTCTAGATAGGATGATATTGTTGTGTGATGTACTGTTTTACTTTTTAATGAGACTGAAGTTAAAATTATTTATTTATGGCCTTGTATAAATTTTTCCAAAGTTTATTTATCATAAACTTAAATTTTTGAGCATAATCCACTATAGTGTATTAAGTAATTAGTGTTATTTTAAACATTCTAAAACACTACAAGAATGATTTAAAATAGTTATTAGTCAACCAATTTTGACTAAAAAGTAAACTGCCTGTTTTCAAGAGAAATATTTTCAGGTGGTGCATTTGCAGCATAAGTACCAATAGTCTATTTTCAACAGTGCCTGCTACTACCATTCAGTACCTAGGATATGCTGATAATCAGTGCTTTTGAAAATCAGGACACAAGTTACTAGATAAAAGTGATTATTTGATGATGATGTAAGTACAATGCTTCTTTCCACGTATCAGTCTGTAAAGGAAAAAAATCCCTTGTAGCTATGTCTGACACATACAGTAAAATGTAACTTTAAACTTTTTTTATATGAAAAAGTGTATTTACTCTTGTCTTGTTAGTAAGCTTGTTAAGCAAGTTAAATTTTTTTTGGCTTCATGTAAGATTCAGTGCTTATTTTAGATGAGTGTCAAGAGCACTTCTGAAACTGAAGCCTCTCACCTTTTACCTTCTCAAGGGAAGGATTAAACATCTTCTGGATGAAGTGTTAATCAAGTAATCATTTTGTAAGTATTGTGAGGTACACGTTTTACATAAAGAATAAAGTCCATAACTACGGACCTTAAGGTATTTGATCTCAAAAAGGCCAAGTTTTAATAGAATGAAGATAATTTATTGTGAATTACTGTATCAGTGTGGGTTGCAGCCTTTTATGTTTTTCATACATATGGCCAACTCAAAAGTGCAGTGTAAGAATACAACACTGTGGGATAGATATGGACAAAGCAAAGACTATTCTCTGGATCCATTACAAAGTAAAACTTGGAAACGTTGAGGTTGTCTGCAATTTTTATGTAGGACTGAAGCTGCTTTCTCACTTAGGTGCCAGTTTTCCTGAAGTGTTGTAATTCTTGATATCCCATGGAGATAAATGTACTATGCAAGGAGGATTAATTGCCTGTCAACTAGATCAGTTTCTTAGTACTTACCACCTTTTAGAAATTAAAGATGTATCATTTGACATGAACGTTCAAGGTTTGTTTTTTTTTCTTCTTAAATTTCATTGCTAATAGTTTCTGGAAATGGTGGCTGGAACAGTGGCTTTGACTTAGCAAAGAAATAACTTCAGTTCTTACTACTTCTCATTTCCCTGGACATTTTCTGACCACTGTACAAATGTGAGTATTCTTTCCTCTTTTCATGCTAGTTGGTTTGCGGCAAGGCATTCATAACTAGCTCAGACAGGAAAAGCTGCAGTATTTTTAAAATTATATCTTACTGGTATCTTACCCATTACTCTTGCAGAACTCCCAAGTCAAAGGTTGTGCTTCCATGTTGTGCTAGCTAAACCTATAAAGGAAAGCATACTTACTGAATAGCTAAGCCAGACTGACCTAGATTGCTTAGTATTTAAAGAGAAGCTGAGGTGATTATATGCTTCTTAGCCATTAGGTGTGTATTCATAATAGACTTGTTTTTAAAACAGGGAGATCTGTGTGATTTTTTTCCACCCTGCTTCCATTCAGACCACAGTAGAAGGACCTGTTTCGGTAAGCGGATGCTGCCTGGTGGTGTGAGAAGGACCTGTCATGCAGATTATACAAGACCAAATCGGGTTAGATAAGAATATTGGTGCAAAGGATTTCAGGAGGAGGAAGCAAAGAATATGACAAAAAGGAGTGGGTGTTTGGCAGTAGAAATCTTTATCCCCATAGATTTTACTGTTCTGTTTGAAAGTTCTGTCTCAAAGGGAATTATTTGGCACACTAGAAGGAAATAATTTGTAAAAGAGGAATCCTATAAAGTAAAACATCTCAGTATATCACTTCATCTTACAAATTGGTTCCCACATTTCCAGCATTCCCAATCACAATTTTTCTTGAAGATTTGAATTCCAGGCCTATACCAACTCCTCCCTTAAAGGAACAAAACCAAAATCTCTCTGGACTTTGCAGTCAACTTTTCCCTTTTAAATGTTTCTACAGTTTTTCAGCACTGTGGGCTTTGCTTTACTGTAGTTCCATGCCTCTCACGATGGTAAAAAGAGAGGCAGTTATTTTCAGTGCTCCAGGCTGATGACCTGTTGTGCCAGATGCGTAACAATAGGACAGCTTTTACCCTAAAGAGCTAATGCCAAAACACACATGAACAGGCTGACGCTGGAAGACAGTGTTTATATAAGAGTAAATCCTGAAGCCTGAAAACAAAGTTGTAAACAGCGATAATCCCTGATGGTATAATTAATCTCTGCAACCAATCAGCTGACTGATACCAGAGATACTCAGGCACAGTGTGGGAGAAAAGGCATGTGGTGTCTGCTTAGCACACAAGAGGACAGGGCTGATAGTCCAGATAAACAAAATGTCTGAGCTTGGAAAGGCAGTTCTTGGTAAACTTTACTCTAGTTCCTAACCCTTGTAACCCCTCAAATACTGCGTGGAGTAATTTCTTTGACTTGGATGCTCTGGTTTGTGTGATGATAGTGCTGTACTAGAATATGGAAAAATCACTCTGCAGAGTCAGGGAGCCTTCCCCAGGGACCGGGAGCTATTTAATCGGTATTTAGGCACCAGGAAAAGATGGTATGGAGTAAGGATGTCATCAAGAGTGTTTCTAAATCTGGCAACTTCAGCACTACAGCTGTTGAGGTTAGTCAGGTTGCACCCCTTAGGTTGATTGTAGCTTCTAGTTACCAATATCCAGAAGTGCCCTATAACGAACCTATTCCAGTCACTCTTAGTTTGTTATTGAATGAAAACAATTAAATGTTCTGTAAAATTTTCTGTGTAATTTTCAAATATAGCACAGATGAAATTTCATTAGTAGTTGGGTGGGATGCAAACTGATTTTCTTAAGCAGGAAGGCATTAGGAGACTGGAAACGAAGGGTAACTTGTGTCCCGTTCAGCTATTGCCTTACACTTGTTTGGAACTTTAAAAATACATTTATTCAGCTTGCATCATTTTTGTCTTGAAATAGATAGAAATGAACACGTTGTCTCTGCAGATACATAAATTCAAACTCCATCTGTTAAAAAGGTACTCTGTATTTTTAAACAGCCACAAGTGGTTTTTTGCTCCATTGATAAAAACCTTCCAAAGCTTGGACCCTATGACAGGAGACCAAAAAATCAAGAGCCAGTCTCAGTTCTGGTGTCGTAAACTATACTCCAAACAAGGCACGGAAACAAGCATTTTTTTCCTTGTTGTATTATGTGTATTTTAAAATGTAGCTTAGGTGTTGCCAGAAGTTTGACATGCCTTTGCTATTTTTCATTCTGCTAGCAAAGTTCACTTGGCCAATGGAAAATCTAACAATCTAATTAGACCATCCCCATTAGCAGTAAGTAGTTGACACCCAACCCTGCCAGGAATGCTGCACCAGACTTTTTCAGTTGAGGATTATATTGAAAGCAGACTTTAATTATCCCAGTAAACATACAAGATTACATCAACAAGCAAGCGTTTTGTCTACACAGTCTGTGTATTTATCTCTAATGGAAATGTGACCTCCTTAAATCCCATCCATCTCAGGTTCTGAAGTAGTAAGCAATTTTATTTGGATTATTTTTGTTCTGTTTAGATGATTTGAAGCATTTTACTCAGAAACAGAAAAACATTTACATTTTCAGGGCACAAGTGCTCATGTGGAATTTTTTCTGTAACAAAAAAAGTGCCTTATGTTACTGTCAAAACCCAAACATTTTACCTTTTCCTGTGTTAAATCCATCTCCAGCCTTTAGGTTGACTGGCTGCTGTATTTATTTTTCTGGGGGTTTTTAGACCTCCCATCATGTTACTGCTTGATTCTGTAGTATTTGGCTGAGAGGCTTCTGAGCAGGTATCTTAGGCAAGACAAGGAAAAGAAGCTGACTTCCTAACATCTGGCAGGTCTGCTGGCATAACAGAAACTACTACGTGGCTGCAGAAGGTTCCTGGAGAAACAACAATGTCCAAAAGCTGCATCTCCAGTGGGCTTTGTGCTTTGGTGTATACATAGCTAATTCAGATTTGAATATAGGTTGTAATGACTGAAAAATCAGAAAGTACAAGAATGGTTTGTGGGACAGACAGGATTAGCTGCTTTTTGTTTTTAAACAGATATAGTCAAGACAGTAAGAGACAGATTTTTGAATGTATGTAGGTTTCTGAGGATGGTGTTAGTGGGAAAAGGGTGACTGAGGTTCTTGAAACTCTTACTAGGCTTTTATCTTTTTATCTGCATCTCTAAAAAATGTTTGCAAAATGTCTTACCTTAAATGGTATGCATAAGAGATTATCAAAATGAATAGTAGTAAATCTGAAAAAAAGGCTGAGTACCTTTTTTATGGTTTTGCATGCTCCCTAAAAGAGGAAAAAGAGGAAGGTTGGTGATACTGGTAAATTAGTAGTGACTGTTTAGTTTCTGTACATTAGACATTTTGAGGTTTTTAATTGCAGATACAAAATCTTGACTTCTGTTTCATTCTGATCATTTTAACTTCACTTCAGCGCAGGAATAGAGCATTCTAATTGTACCTGTTTTCAGTCATGGCAGTTATTCTGTCTCTTCAACTTTTAGGATGTTTTGGAGGATATTTCTGATTTGAATGTAATTCTCAGGAACAGGTTCTTTTGCCATTTTCTTTGTAAGCAGAGATTTCAAGTGTTAAGAGGCAGACATACAAGCAAAAAGGGTGTCACTAAAACCTGTTAAGACTGTGTGCTTTCATAGTCTCAGAGAAATACTGAATTGTATGTGACTGCTTGGCAAAACTTGTGCTTTTTTTAATGTAC